GTTTTTTTAGATAAATGGTATACAAAAGTTAGATAGAATGATATTGTGAATTATTTGAATGATACTCTAGAGGAAGTAGAAGTTAAATGTAAAGGATTTAAACCTTTGCTTGCAAAATATATATTTATGACATCACGAAGATCTTCAGAAGAATCATTTAATTTTAGTCAATGTAATAAGAGTGAAGATGAAGTATATAGAGATTGGGATCAGTTTGACAGGAGACTTGATTTTATTATCGAATTTAAAGGCAAATGGAATGATAATATCGATTTACATACAACAGAATTAATATTTCACAGAGGTTCTAAGGATGAGTTTAGGAACATGATCTGGGATTTAAAATATGATAAAGGAGAATACATAACTGAAGAATTAATAGAAGTTGTCAAAGATTTAAACAAAGATGAGGATAGAAAGATCGTAATTAAGAATAATCAAGTGTATTGGAGACGTCATTTTTCTGAGTTCAAAAAGAGATACTTATGAGATTATTCAAGATGTAAAGAATTGTCTGATTATAAACAAGAAATTCTCTTAGAAAATCAAGATAATAATATTTAGATAGATATTAATTTAGAAAAATCAAGTAGTTCTACAAGTAAAAGAACTTATAAATCTAATGAAAGTGAGAGTAGCAATAAATGTAGAAAATAATATATTTTTTTTTAATTTAGTTTATTTAAATAAAATTTTAATATAGAAATAAAAAAATTATTATGGTTATAATTAATTTGATATTTATTTTAAGCTACATAGAAAATTTTAAATATTATTTTATTTATTTATATTATTATAATAAATATTTTGTATTTAAACCCTTTAAAAAATCTTTTATCGAACTAAAAATTTCAAGATGCCTACAATCATGAGCAAACCTGAAAATAACACTTTTGAAAAAGTATACGCTCAATGTTTCAAAGAAACATCTTTATTTTTAGCAAGTTGTGATATGCAATTTCAAAACGCATCTAAATTTTTTATATATTATATAACAAATTAAAACTAAAAAGATTTTGAATACTATCATATAGATGATTTTATATTTGTTGTTGATTATAAGAAAAAATTAATTAAAATATTTATTGAATTCGAGATCTTAACATATCAAAATTTTGGAACAGGTCAATTAAAACATTATGTAAATTGTGCAAAGATGTATTTAACACATTATGATTGTTGTAAAAAATAATTTAATATCTCAAAATTTCTTTAATAAATAATATTTTTTAATCATGTGATATATTAAAAATAAATAATTTTTTTATGATGTTTCAAAAAATTTTATAAAAAAAATCTGTAAATCATTTCACAAATTCTTGTAAAATATCACAAAATTAATAATTACATCTAAATTAAGATTTCTTTGTTAACAAATTTGTATTATTTATTATTGTTATCTGCATGTAAATCAAGTTTTGTTTACGTGTTTGATCATTATAAATTACAAAAAAAAGATGATCTTTTTTTTTTTACAAACGAAAAATCATTATCAAAGGTTAATATTCTTTCTTTACATATACTTTTTTTTTTAAAAAAAAATATGATTAGAAACAATGCTAGCTAAGTCTTTAGCACCAAACTCTACTACTTCGATGATATGTTCTCAAGTTTCTCATTAAAATCTTCTCAACCTCTATCATTGACTTAGTTCTCAATCAGTTTAACTAGTTTTTTTCTTTGCCAGCTTCTTTCTTCGCTTAGACTTATGATTTTTATTTTATTTTTTTATAATTTATTGTTTAAATATTTAGTTACTAACTAATATTTTTTTTATTATTTTTATTACAAGATAGAAATATGTCTAATGTTATTGATGATATTGATTCTATTATCGAACAAAATCATAATCTTCAAAGTTCTTTGATCTAAGTCCGCAAGAAACTTAATGAAACAAAAGCAAAAATCAAATCAAGTTTAAATAAAATCATCGAGAAAACCA